CCCCAAAACCCCAAAACCCCAAAACCCCAAAACCCCTTTAAATATGAGAATAGTTGAATTTGAAGTTGAGAATGATGATTTTAGAAAACATGGAGCCCCAATTTAACAAAGTATAAATGAATTTTATCTCATTCCAAACTTAGGAGAACTATTCTGAGCATGAGGGCACTTGATGTTCAAATTTAGCATTAGTGGGATACTCTGACTTCCATGCAGAGTTGGATTAATATCCACATTTATCACTTGTTGCCCTAGCCTTCTCTTGAAAAGCTCTCTATTAGGGGATTTTCTAAACTTCGGCTTGAAGCAAGAGGCTTTCTTAATAGACTGCCTTTTCTTATGGAAGGTGAATGGATCGACTTGTAAGTTCTATAAATTTGAATAATACTGTTGTCTGAATTAGTCTTTGAAGAATTCTTACATTATTGTGATTGGCAAACACATTCTCAATTCCATTGCTTTTCATCTGATTTCTCTTAGAAATTTTCTCAGCTGCAAGCCATTGATGTATCCTAATCTCGTTCAACTTCTTTAAAACAGCTGGAGGGGGAGAGATTGACTTTTTCTAAATACCGTTAAAATTTTCAAAAGTGAGTTTGAATATTCTCTATGAAAAACTAATTCTTTGGTCTTGGGAACTACCACAGTAATCAATTTTAGTCAGAAAGAATATATGACTTCATAAAAACTGATCGGCAATTACCTTTACTAACATTTGATTTTGCCTTGATGGCAGACCTGGAGGAGGCGACTTCCTTGTTTTCCTCTTGGTCTTCTTGAATTTTGGAGACTTCTTAATTGGAGAACGACTCTTTGCTAATTTACTTTTACGCCCCTTCTTTTTCTTCTTTGATTTCTTTGAAAGAGACTCCTCCTTAGTTTTGTATAGATTTTGGGCTTGCTCATACAACTTCTTTGTCATCATCAAATACTCCTCTGCAGTTTTGTATTTCTGTAAGAGGAGCTGGTCAACAGTAGGATTTCCATTAGTTAGTAAGAGATTTCTTTTGTTCATTTTGCGCACCAACTGATGATTTAATGGAGCTTGGGGATTTAAATTAAGAAGAACTCTTTTTGAAGTATTCCTCTCCATATTTTCCTTATTACTCCCAGTTTCTGAGTCTCTTCATGGAACCTTGTCTAGAGAGCTGTTATCTTCCTCTTGAGCAATTGAGGACATGTCCGTGTCTGCCGAATGTTCTGATTCTTTCGGCTCACTCTTCTTCTCCTCCTTATTATCATGAGTTGGATAATACTCAGTAGTCTCCTTGTCTTGAGATTTTGGAATCTCTCCAAGAGATGATTGGCTAAGTCCAATAGTTTGTGGAAGACCACTCACAATTGCATTTTCAGAAGATTCCTGTTCCACCTTGTTGTTAGTTTGATCTTCTAAGTGCTCAGAAACTTGGATGCTGATGTCGTGTTTGTCTGGGGAGAACTCGATCTTGATAGGCTTCTCAGGAGATATTTTTTCAAGTCTAGAATTCTCAGAGGGAATATTTCGAGTTTTATCATGGGAGAAAGAAGTTCCATTAGGAATGTTATAGGTATTGTATTCTTTATAGTTCTGTTGTTTTTGTGATAACGGGCTTAGGTTTTTAGGAATATCTGAGTTCATGTCCTTTTCTCCTAAAATTCCTCTCTTTTGGGGTTCTTTTGGTTTGAAAGAACTTAATTTTCTTTCTTCAACTACACCATAATCATTGTTCCCTTCAAGGCGGGATAAAGATTCTTCATCATTTCGATTCTTGCAATCACTAGCAGAAGAAGAAGGGAAGCTACCTTGAGGAGACATCATACTTCCACTTGAATCATCCTGTATACTAGGCCGACTTCCAGTAATAGGAGGAGAAAATTGCAAGTTTGGAATTTGCAAATTCTCTTTGCTTTCTATGTTTCATTTTGGTATCAAGTCCTCATTATCTCTGAGCTCTCCTTCTGAGAAACTTTCAGTCTTATTATAACTCGACATTGATCTTTTAGACTCTTCAATATATGAATTTTTGTTTATTTCAGTCTCCGATTCTTGGACTTCAGGTATGGCTTGATTTATTGAAGGATATCTAACTCTTTCATCTCTCTGATCTTCCCTAAATTCATCTTCAACTTTAATAGCATCTCCCATCATGTTTTCATCATCAAGAGAATGCTCAGGAGCAGTTAAATCAATATTATCGTCATTCCCATTCTGTTCTCTGTCATTTGGTTCAGTTATCTGTTTACGCTCTTCATTATGATTTATTGAGTTTTCAGAATAATGATCGTCAGATTCAGCACTCAGAGACCCTATGTGGATAATTGGGCCATCGTTATTCCCAGCAGATAGGTGGTTCCTCCGGATCAAGTGATCACAGACTCCAGAAGTTTCTACAGAGTCTTCTTTTCTTGCCTCATCATTTTCAGTGTGAGAATACTCTGAGTAACATCTATCACTTGATTTACTCTCATGTCATAGATCTTTCTTAGCTTTTCCAACGATAGTCTCAGTTTGAACAAATTTGAAAGTTCCATCTGTTTGCTGCATCAATTCTTCTTCTACCTTCTGAGGGCTCTGATCGTGATTATCAGCAAGATCAGAGTTGAGTCCATTTACATGCAGATTCGAACCTTGAGACATATCATCTGCATCTCGATAATGGTTGACACAAAATCTATGATTAGAAGGCTCACTAGTGTCATTCCTGCCAATATCTGTGTCACTGATAAAATAAGTATCAGCGCTCAGGACTGTCTCTGGGCTAACTGGATTCATATTTTTAAAATTATTCGTTTAGTTTCAAACACATTTGAATTTTTAGGGGTTTTGGGGTTTTGGGGTTTTGGGGTTTTGGGGTTTTGGGG